GTTCATCAGGGTCTATGGTTTTCATTTTTTGTTATGTCCTTTCCTGGTTTTGTTATTAGGGTGACACTGGCTTCATGGAATGATTTAGGGTGGATTCCCTCTTCATCTTTTGGAATAGTTTCAGTAGGATTGGTACCAATTCTTCTTTGAATGTCTGGTAGAAATCATCTGTGAATCCATCTTGTCCTGGACTTTTGGAGTTGTCAATTTTTTATTACCGATTCAATCTCACTGCTTATTATTGGTCTGATCAGGGTTTCTATTTTTCCCTGACTTAATCTAGGAGGATTGTATGTTTCCAGGAATTTATCCATTTCCTCTAGGTTTTCTAGTTTGCTCACATAAAGGTGTTCATAGCAGCCTTGAATTTTTTCTGTATTTCTGTGTTATCAGTTGTAATATCTCCAGTTTCATTTCTAATTGAGCTTATTTGGATCTTCTCTCTTCTTTTCTTGGTTAATCTCACTAATGGTCTATCAATTCAGTTTACCTTTTCAAAGAACCAGCTTTTTGTTTCATTTATCTTTTATATTGCTTTTGTTTGTTTCCATTTCATATTGTTCTTCTCTGATGTTCATTATTTCTTTTCTTCTGCTCGATGTGGGTTTAGTTTGTTCTTGTTTCTCCAGTTTCTTGAGGTGTGACATTAGGTTGTCAATTTGTTCTGTTGCAGACTTTTTGATGTAGGCATTTAATGCTATGAACTTTCCTCTTAGCACTGCTTTTGCTGTATCCCAGAGGTTTTGATAAATTGTATCACTATTATCATTCATACCAAAGAATTTTTTAATTTCCATCTTGATTTCATTGCTAACTCAAAAATCTTTCAAGAGCAGATTATTGAATCCCCATATACAAATATACATTTGTATAGTTTTGAGAGTTCCTTTTGGAGTTAATTTCCAGTTTTATTCCACTGTGGTTTGAGAAGATACTCGCTATTTTTATTTTCTTAAATTTATTGAGACTTGTTTTGTGGTCTATCGTAAGTTCTGTCTTGGGGAATGTTCCATGTGCTGATGAGAAGTATGTATATTCTGCAGTTTTGGGGAAGAATGTCCTGTCAGTATCTGTTAAATCCACGTGTTCTAGGGTATAGTTTAAGACCATTGTTTCTTTGTTGGCTTTCTATCTTGATGATCTCTCTAGTGCTGTCAGTGGAGTATTGAAGTCCCCCACTATTACTGTGTTGCTGTCTATCTCATTTCTTAGGTCTGTTAGTAATTGTTTTATAAATCTGGGAGTTCCAGTGTTATGTGGATATAAATTTAGAATTGTAATGTCTTCTTGGTTGACTAATCCTTTTATCATTATATAATGTCCTTCTTTGTTTTTGTTTTTGTTTTTTTACTGTTATTGCTCAAAAGTCTGTTTTGCCTGCAATAAGAATAGCTATGCCTGCTTGGTTTTAGTTTCCATTTGTGTGGAATATCTTTTTTCCCTTTATCTTGAGTTTATATGAATTCTTATGAAGGAAGTCAGGTTTTCATTAGCAACCAGGGTTAATTTCCACTAACCCTTTACTATAATTTTGATGAATACGTAAGTTAAACATTAAAGAACTGGAGAAACTAGTGCCTGGGTATATTACTCCATTCTTACACTGCTATAAAGAACTACCTGAGACTGGGTGATTTATGAAGAAAAATTTTGATTCATTTTTCTTTGTGATATATACCTCTCTGGAAATATTTTCATTCATAACATGAACTGTTTTGGGTTTTTTTTAATATTTCTTTATGTTGGTTTTTGCTTTTCTCTGATATCTCCTTAAGTAGCTTAATAATCAACCTTCTAGGCCAGGCATGGCGGCTCATGCCTATAATCCCAGCACTTTGGGAGGCCAAAGCAGGTGGAACACCTGAGGCAAAGAGTTTGAGACAAGCCTGGTCAACCCCATCTCTACTAAAAATACAAAAATTGCCCAGGCGTGGTGGCACATGCCTGTAATCTCAGATACTCAGGAAGCTGAGGCAGAAGAATCACTTGAACCCAGGAGTTAAAGGTTGCAATGAGCCGAGATCACACCATTGCACTCTAGCCTGGGCAACAAGAGTAAAACTCCATCTCAAAAAATAATAATTATAATAATAATCCTTCCTTTTGAATTCTTTATCTGGTATTTCAAAAATTTATCTTGGTTTAGATTTATTGCTGGAGAGTTAGTATGATCTTTCAGGGGTGTTACTGTGATAACTTACCCTTTGTTAGCCTAACTGACTCTTTCTTAGCTAAGAGCTGTGCAGACTCCATGTTAGCTTCTTTGCTTGTCGCCCCGCCGCCCAACATTTTTTTTTTTTTAATCTTCCCCTGGTTAAGCTGACTCCAAGCAGACCCAGGAATGTCCTTGCTGATAAGATATCGAGTTAAGCTATACCAGCCACTCCTGGGGATGTGTCTGCTGGTAGTACCAGCTGCCCCTTGTAATGTGTCTGCTGATAACTGAAAGCCCCTACATCTGCAACTGTTTATCTTTCTGCAATAGTTTATCCTTTTAATTTAAAGGATGTTGTGAAAGCATCAGAGGTACCTTGGATACAAAGCCAAGCGGAGAACACATTCTCTCCCTCTACAACCGTCTCTATGTGGCAAGAAGCATTGGCTATAACCTTATTCCTACTTCTACTGGTTATAATACTCCTAGCTTGCTGATTCTCCAGACCCCCAGGCCATGAATATCTCTGTCCATGCTGGGTTTAACATTTCTGCTTAAACCTTGTCAGCAAGGCGTTAGCTATCCAATGGAAACTCCATGGTGCCTACCGAACCGACCCCAGAGCTCTGGACAGGTAGAACGCATGAATCATACCTTAAAAAAGTACTCTTACAAAATTAATTTTGGAAACCAGTGAAGATTGGATAAAGCTCCTTCCTTTGGCCCTTCTTAGAATTACTTTTCTGGTTCCTTCTCATTTTAGTAGACTAGTTATTCTTGAATTATTTTTCTTGAATTATTTTCAAGTTATTCTTGAATTATTTTTTATTGGACTTTTTTTTAAGTTCTTTTTCTTTCTTCTTAAGGAACTGACTTTAATGTTTATAGTTTATTTTAGCCTAATTTGATCCTTGGTTTTCATGGGTGAAGACTTTTGGCTTTTAGAAGTGAAGACTCTGTGTGAGTTCCTTAGTTAGAGTCTTTGTGCACTGGCTTTCCCAGATCTTGGTGGTAGTAGTTATGTACTTGGTGTGTGGGAGGGTTTACTGTCTTCTACAGGGTTGAAATGGTAAGAATCTCTTTAAGCTTATTCATTCTCTCATGGTGTACTCTTTATTTATTTAATTTTTCACCAATATTTTATTTACTGAGTTGATCATTCAGGCTTCAGACCAGTAGGGGAAGTATCCCTGGGTAGGCATCAGTTGTAGCTAAAGCAGGTGGGTAGATGAGCAAAGATCTCAGCCTTGATGAAGGTGGCTGGGAGAGATCTTAATTAGACATGCTGAGGTTTTCTCAGGGTGAAGGGTAGGAGCTACCTCAGGACCCCCACCAGGCCAGCTGGAAAGCTATTCACCTCCCAGCCTCACCCCTGTCCCAGAGTTCTGGCTGTTCAGATCAGATAGGCAGTTCTTTTCATCTGTAGAAATGTTGATGTTCCAAGCAGAGAGGAATTGTGACTGCCTGTCATGCAAGCCTGAATGTGAAAAGTGCTCCTCCCATGGGGATGCAATCACCCTGGTTTTTTCCAGGAAGGCTGTCTATAGGTGCATCAATGCTGCATTCCTCTGGGAGAAGCCCCAGCTCTGTCTGCAGTGGTATAGCAGGGGGAACAAGGACCCCTTCTCTAGGACCCTTCACAATACCAGAGGCCGCCTGCCTTTTGGGGTAGAGGTCCAAACTTTTCCTCCTCTGCCCAGCAGGGCAATTGTATCTCTGCTATAGGAAACTTCCCACCAGTGAAAAGATCTGGGACTCAAGGCCTGCCATTCAAATTCTTTTGTCCCACAGTGTATTCCCCTGATGCGATGTTCTCCCCCTTCCTCTAAGAATGGGACTTCCTGAGAGCCAGACTACAGTACGCTTCGGGGTCTAGGCAGACTTTGGGCTGGTGCTGGGGAATATCTACAAGGGATCCAGTAATGTGACCTGTCTTCAAGGCTCCCAGCAGTGGATACCAGCACCACCTCTGACAGAAGTGGGAGGGCAGTGACATAAACTCTGCAAGGTTCCTTGGCTGTAGATAGATAGGCTTAGAGTGCTGACTTTCTCGAATGCTGGTTATAATTACAGTGAACTTATCACGTGAACAGACTCAGGACTTCTGGTTTGTCAGGGTGTTGTAAGCAGTGGTGATCGCTGAAAATAGGCAGCCGTCTTCTCCTTCCTGAGTCCAGTACTATTCTTCTTAGAGGTGAGTTTTTTTGCCTGTCTCACAGACCAGGCTGCAGCCTGCCACTTCTTTCAAAAGTTCTGTGGATTCTTCCAGTTTTCCTGTTCACTTCCCGCATTCATTCCTGGAGAAAAAAAATTTACAGTGTGAATCTCTACACACTACTCTGTCCTTCCAAGTGGGAGAGGCATGCTAACACTGCCTCAATCTGCTGTCTTAGGGGGGGAAAAGCAGTCTGGTCTAAAAAAAAAAAAAAAATGAATTTGTTGGGTGTAGCAACCCAGAGGTCATTGGAAACCTTGGCAAAAGCTATTTCAGTGGAGCAGTAGGAAGGAAGCCAGTTGCAGTATATTTATTGAGCAGCAGAGGAAGCGGAGAGAGCAGCTGTGTTAGCAAAAGGGTACTAGGACAGAGGGAGTGTGATAAAGGCATAAGTAAGATGTGATGGAAGGAAAAGAGCCAGGACAGAGGAGAGAGAAAGCAGGATCCTCAAGGATCAGAGAAGCAATGGGTCCCACAGTCAGTTGCAGGGGATTCAACAGAAATAGAAGGAGGGACAGTTCTCACTCTGACCCTGGAAAGAAGGAAGAAACTGCGTGTGAGTTAAGACAAGTCTGTTGAGGGGGGCTGGGATGCCTGCATCTTCCCTGTTAAAAAAGGAAGTGCAGGTTCAAAACACTCAGAGACAGAAGGTGGGTAGGCAAATCTCCACCTTCAGACTGGTAGGCTCCTCCAGAAGCCATCAGACAGGAAGATGTGAAAATCCACAGTGCTCATCCCAGAATCACTAGGTGGCACCTATCCTGGGTCAAAGTCCCAGGACAGACCTCATTGTTCCTCTGTAGGAACACCTCCCCAGGAGGGCCTCCTGGATTTCCCCCCTCTCAACCCAGAAGTTTCATCGTCCAGGCTTCATTTTTTTCTGTGTAACAGCTCTGACTACCATCCAACCTTGAGGCATCTTGAAGACTTCGGTGGCCACTCCAATAACAGCAGGTAGGTGACCTGTTCAGTCGGAGATGCTGGGGATGTACTTCTAATAGAAGGGATCTGGAAACTTCAGCCTCTTCTGAGGTCCCTGAGAAGTGTAGAACCTTAGAGCTAAAGACAACTAACTCTTCACCTAGACAGTGCTGTACAAAAGAATTTTCTGCAGTAATAGAATTGTTCTAGATTTGCCCTGTCCAATATGGTAGCCACTAGTCACATGTGGCTACTGAGCACTTGAAATGTGACTAGTGTAACTAAGAATCTGAATTTTCATTTTCATTTTTTTCCCGTGTCTGTGTGTGTGTGTGTGTGTATGAGACAGGGTCTCACCCCAATGCCCAGGCTGGAGTGGAGAGGCATGATCTTGGCTTATCACAGCCTCAACCTCCAGATCTCAGGTGATCCTCCCACCTAAGCCTCCTAAGTAGCTGCAACAACAGGCATGTACCACTACGCTCAGCTAATGTTTTGTTGATATTTTTTTTTTTTTGTAGAGACAGGGTTTCACCATGTTGCCCAGGCTGGTCTCAAACTCCTGGGCTCAAACAATCCACCCATCTTGGCCTTCCAAAGTGCTTGGATTATAGGCATGGGCCACCTTGCCTGGCCTTTATTTTAATTAATTTAAATTTAAATAGCTACACATGGCTAGTAGCTACCATGCTAGACAGAAGAGACTTAGAAGAAGCTCCCGTTTTGCAAAGGCACACAGCAGGCCCAGGAAGACTGACTTCTCCAAGCTCACCCTGCCCATAAATGGCAGAACCAGGTTTTTGTTTTGGTTTTGGTTTTGTTTGAGACAGGGTCTCACCCTGTCACAATGGCACAACCTCAGCTTACTGTAACTCCTGCCTCCCAAGTTCAAGCAATTCTTTTGCCTCAGCCTCCCGTGTAGCTAAGATTACAGGTGTGCACTACCACACCCAGCTAATTTTTGCATTTTTAGTAGAAACGAGTTTTCACCATGTTGGCCAGGCTGGTCTTGAACTCATGACCTCAGGGGATCTGCTCTCCTCAGCCTCCCAAAGTGCTGGGATCTCAGGTGTGAGCCACCACACCAGAAGCCAGTTTTCTAATTCACTCCACCCTCTGTATAACCGCAGTGATCTCTACAGAAATGAAACTGACCTAAGGGGCATGAAGAAAGAGGCTGACTAGGAAATGTCCAATCTGGACTCCCCTCTTTACATCCTTTGTATCTGGCTGTCTGAGACACAGGGAGGTACCTAATGGAGCTCAGAAACTTGAGGCTGGGATCCTGCTCCTTATTACAGTGAACAGGACATAGGATTTGAGAGCAGATTTTTAGAAGTGTTTTAAGCTGCTGAAAACCTAGTTCAGCTGTATCACTCTACGTAAGTTTCTTAACCTCTCAGAGTCTTCGTTTCCTCATCCAGAAAGTGCCTACTTCATGAGGTTGTCCTGAGGATTAACTGATATAAATTCTGAAAAGCACTTTGCCCAGAAGCCAGAACTTGACCGACACTCAACATTACAGTTAATATGACAATTCATACACAGGTCAAAGCAAATTAGATGTCATCAAAGTCAGCCCTGAAAGCAGACCCACTGCCCACTGCTTTCCCTTGATTGGGGATGTGGTGAGAGAGGCAGCATGGTATCAGTGAACAAACTTTCCAGTAATAATGATCACAACGATGAAAGCTGACATTGTACTTTACATATGTCTTAAGTGCTTTACAAGCAATCCCACATTTCACCCTCACCACAACCCCATGAGTTGGATTTTGCATTGGCCCCATTTTACAGATGAGTAAACTGAGACTCAGAAAGGAAAAGTCACTTGCCCAGAATTGCTCAGCCAGCTCTGCTCTCATCTGCCTCTCTCCATGTGTAATGGGCCTCTATCTGGTTTTCGCATCAACTGGCCAGGTGTCACTGCATTCTTCCCCAGCACGAGAAAGAGATGTAACGAAGACTAAGGAACGTTTGCTGAACAGTTGGTCTCAGAGATTCTTTCCTTGGGATAGGTAGGCAGTTTAAGTGTGTCTGCCACAGGCTCTGTGTCCCCTCTGGGCCCTGGGGTGCATGGAGCAAGAGACAGGGTAAGGAGTAACGGAGGAGAGAGCTTGGGAGAGAGCAGAATTCGCATTCATGGCTCTACCTGGATTAATTCATTCACTTGTAATCAATAGCAAATTGATAAAATACATTCTTAGGGTCACTCAATACTGTTTTGAAAAATGTATTTGGACTTGAGCGGGATCTTCACTTCTACCGAAAGGCTTTCTTTCCAAATTAGAGGGTCTTGGCTCCAAGGGTGGTAGCTCCTGCAAAGTTGGGGTTCTCAGACCCAATGCTAAGTGTATGAGCCAAGAAGGAATATCAATACCCTGAGATGGACTTGTGGTCAGAGCAGAGGGTTGGGGAGTGAGGGGTAAGATGAAGGCAGGAGTAGGGCCGAGGAGTAGATGCATCAGGTTCAGGCAGGAACACCACCAGACTCACCAGAAGCTTCGGTCCAGCTCTGTCGCCTTAGTGTGCTGCTCCCCCTTGACACGTGAAAGACATTCAAGAGCTTTAGTACTACTGCCAAGGGTACAACGGGGGAACCTGAGGCAGCTGGAGTGCCAGGAGACTCAAACAGGGCAGCTGAAGGAGCCGGGGGCTCTGAGATACAGCAAAGATGAGAGAAATCCATGCAATCCTGGGCAAGCCATTTCCTTTCTCTGGGCTTCAGTTTTCCCATCTGTAAAATGGAAAGACTAGCTAGAAAACCCACTGGGTCCCTTTCCAATATAAATTCTGTAAGTCCATAAAATGACTGTGCATCTGAGGGCTGACCTGGGGACTAATTATTCAAATTTATCAGAATCATCCGGCACCCTCAGCAGCTCCACCCCTGCGTTGCATTGAGCAATCTAATCCACCACTCACTTCCTCCCCTGTGTTCTCACCACCACCTCCCTTTCATAGGCTGCAGCTGCTGTCCTGGAGGTGTTCCACAGGTGAAAAGCCCAGCATCCTGGTAAGTCTTAGAACACCCACCCTTCCCACCAGCTAGCATGTCTCTGTCCTCTGTTCACCCTGACACTAAGCCTACATTTATCGCAAGCATCTCTCCCCACTCTTGGGGGCCCCTCACCCTCACCCCTTGGCCTCTTCATTTTCTCACTTTGGGGCTCCCTCTCCCCAAAGAGAGAATCTCTATTCCTCTCTCCCACCGCCTTCTCCAACCCCTCAGGGCAACCAGCTGCCCATCCTCTTCCCTTGGCCTGGTGGCCTTCCAAGACTCAGCCAGCCCTCCTTGCCTGGGCTAGGACTGGGTCTGAGGATGGGCTAAGCACTGTTGACTTCCCACTTCCCTACACTAAATGCAAATATTTGTGGATTTTTTTTTTTTTTTTTTTTTTTTTTTGAGACGGAGTCTTGCTCTTGTTACCCAGGCTGGAGTGCAATGGTGCGATCTCGGCTCACCACAGCCTCCGCCTCCTGGGGTCAGGTAATTCTCCTGCCTCAGCCTCCTGAGTAGCTGGGATTACAGGCACCCGCCACCATGCCCAGCTAATTTTTTGTATTCTTAGTAGAGATGGGGTTTCACCATGTTGACCAGGATGGTCTCGATCTCTTGACCTTGTGATCCACCCGCCTCAGCCTCCCGAAGTGCTGGGATTACAGGCTTGAGCCACCGCGCCTGGCTTTTTTTTTTTTTTTTTTTTTTTTTTTTTTTTTTTTTTTTTTTTGAGACAGTCTTGCTCTGTCACCCAGGCTGGAGTACAGTGGCACGATCTCTGAAGCCTCCGCCTCCTGGCTTAAAGCAATTCTGCCTCAGCCTCCTGAGTAGCTGGGATTATAGGCGCGTACCACCATGCCTGGCAAATTTTTGTATTTTTAGTAGAGATAGGGTTTCACCATGTTGGCCAGGATGGTCTCAATCTCCTGACCTTGTGATCTGTCCACTTCAGCCACCCAAAGTGCTGGGATTACAGGCATGAGCCACTGCACCTGGCCTGTGGATTATATTTATAGAGGGAAAGAATACTGGAATTGTATTAAAATGACTGTTTAATTGTTTTGTTGTTAAAAAGATTGCCTTAGATGTTTGAGATCTTGTAAATGTCTCTCGTTCTATAGCATTTTTATGTAATAAATTAGAATTCACGCCATCATCTATGGAATTTCCAAACCACCATGAGTCACTAAGGGCTGGCATTTTTTTCCCTAAGTCAAGGAAGCCCCCATTTGATCCTGGAAAATATGACTGGGTGGTCAGGCGGACCCAGCAGTTGAAAGTTGTTTGGTTTATCATCCCTGCAAGAGCTGTTTCTTTCATTCTGGGAGCAATGCACAAAATATCAGAGGCTGTGAGTGCACAATATACAGGTTGATTTCATGATATCTCAAGAACTTAGCTTCTAAATACATTTAATGTATGAGGTGCACTTTTTTTTAAGAGGCAGGGCTAGAGTCTGCAAATAATACAAGTGGAGCCCTTTACACCTCACTGGAGCCGGAACCCTGGTTGTACCACTTCTCCACCCTGAGATCACAAGGTGGTTTCTGAGTCTTCCTGTTAGGTCAGCTGATCCTCCTTGTGCCTTGGTCTTCTATGAACAGAGCCTAATCATATCTATTTATAATGAGCCATGGAGATCATGTACCTGTGAGGACAATGTAGACCTCAGATGTGTCATCTCCTTCCCTTAATTTGTCCTTCTAACTGCCAAGTCATCCTCTGTAGAGATTGGTAAACCAAAAAACAAACATCAACAACAAACACCCCTACTTCCTACCCCAGGAGCTGTCAGTCACTGGCCTGACCCGGTTCTCCTTGCTGAACTCTCTACCTTCTGTCCTGAACATAATGTGAATGGACCATACGCAGGTTGACTTAATACCATCCTCTCCCTTGGAACCTCAAGTTGACCCGTAATGCCTCGGAACATGAGCTCACCCATACACCTCCAGGCCACCCCCAGCACAGCTGAGCACTAGATTATCCGCAATGAGGATTTACCTGTGAAACATGCTCTGCCACTGCTGCTGTGCTGACAAAGCAGTTTCTGCAGCAGCCCCAGCCCCAGCCCCGGCTTCTCACAGCCAATGCTTATATATGCAAAGCTCTGCTCTCCAAGAGCACAGGCTCTCTGCACCCAATATGCCCTATATCTACTCTCGAAGATGGGTCTTCTCCTGGGTCATTTGTTCCCTTAAGAGCATCTGTAATCATCTGCTCTCAGAGGGTGATCCACCTTCGACCTCGTGACTTCATTGGACATACCCTGGGCCTCTAAGCAAACTTGTTCTCGACCATGGGTCTGCAGAGCTGGTGACTTCTTTCAGGTCTTGCTGACCATACTGGTCCAGTAAGCTGTATTCCCAGCCCTCTCACTACCTCCTCAGGCTTCTGGCCAAGCAGGGCCTGACCGTCATCACCATGCCTCTCTAGGTTCATCAACAGATTGAATCTTCTATCAGTTGCCTTGGCATGCTGGGAATGCAAACTTATCTGGCCCCCATAGCTTAAAAGGGAAAGTAATTGCTTCTCAGGAAGGGTTGGCTAAGAATTCCACGACTCTTGGGGGGAAAGGGCATTATTTTTTCAGTTTTACTTAATCCTCTTAAGCTTTCTTCTTTGCTACATATGATGGATGATAACAGAGACTTCCTTTCTGCTAAAGAGAAATGCTCCCTAGGACTTTTGTTATTGTTGTAATGTTTGTGTTGGCTTTGCAAGGCTGTGCACCCTTTGCTTAATCTTTTTCTTAATTGAGACGTAAGCCACATACCACAAAAGTCAGCCGTCTAGAGTTTTTAATATATTCTACAACCGTTGCCACTAATTCCAGAACACTTTCATCACTCAAAAGAAAATTTTCATACTCATTACCATCCCTCCCCCAACTCCCCTTGCCCCTGGCAACCACCAATCTACCTTCTGTCTCTACTGATTCAACCCATTTGCCTATTCTGGTCATTTCACACATATGGAATTCACACAATAGGAAAAGCTTTGTGTCTGCCTTCTTTCACCTAGACTAACATTTTCAATGTTCATCCATGTTGTATTGTGTATCAGTTCCTCATTCCTTCTCATGGCTGAATAATATTTCATTGAATGTAATACAGTCCTAGGTTGCTTAACAATGGGGATATGTTCTGAGAAATATGTCATGTAAACATCGTGGAGTATATGATTTATAGCATGGGCTATATGATAAAGCCTACTGCTTCTAAATACTGAATACAGTAGGTAATTGTCACGTAGTGGTAACTATTTGTATATCTAAACATAGGAAAGAACACTAAAAGTGCAGCATAATCTTATGGGACCACTGGTATATGTGATCCATCTTTCAGTTGCTCATGACTGTGCCTCAATTTGTCTGTCCATTCATCAGCTGATGGATATTTGGTTTGTTTCCACTTTTTGGACTTCATGATGAATGCTGCTATAAACATTAGCTTTCAGTTCTCTTGGGTATATACCTAGGATGGGGTTGCTGGTTCATGTGGTGGGTAACTCTATGTTTATCTTTTTTGAGCAACTGCTAAACTGTTTTCCAAAGCAGCTGCTCCACCTTTCATTCCCACCAGCAATGTGGGAGAGTTCTGACTTCTCCACTTCCTCACCCACATTATTCTTGGGTATCTTTTTCTGAGTGTGCCCAGCCTGGTGAGTGTGAAGTGGGTCCTGGGGCGTTTGATTTCCTGGTTTTTCTCTGACACTGGGTTCCATCTGAGGGTAGGTTATGGACTTGGACATGGTTGGTGGTAGGATGGTCATCCCTTACTCTAAGGAAATGACAGGAGGGTGATCTATTTTGTGGTTCAAAAAGAAGCTAGTTAAGGAGCTGTTTGCTTTAGTTGACTTATTCTTTGAGACACTGGGACACATTTTTTTTTTTTTTTTTTTTTTTTTTTTTGAGGCAGAGTCTCACTCTGTCACCCAGACTGGAGTACAGTGATGCCATTTCAGCTCACTTCAACCTCCATCTCCTGAATTCAAGCAATTCTTGTGCCTCAGCCTCCCAAGTAGCTGGGATTACAGGTGTGCACTACCATGCCTAGCTAATTTTTGTATTTTTAACAGAGATAGGGTTTCACCATGTTGGCCAGGCTGGCCTTGAACTCCTGACCTCAAGTGATTAGCCTGCTCCCCAAATAACCTGTTGCGTTTCCACCCACAGAGAGAATCAGGCAGCCAGCTTGCTTATTATTTTTAATATACTTTTCCAAACTACACACACATTCCCAGAGCTGGCCTCCTTCTGCCCAAAAGAGAAATGCTGGGCCTTACTAATTAACTAAAGATTCGTCTAGCTCGAGCCTTCCAAAACTCCACGCCAATATTCTTCAAACTGTTTTCCAGAATATGTCTTTTGAAATAACTTTCAGAAAATTGGACAAAGGGATTCGTGTTTCAGCTTTATAGTCAAACCACAATCTTTTCTGAGGGTACAGTCCAGTTGGAGGACCTGCTTAATACCCTGAATAAAAACTGAATGGGGCTGAGTGCAGTGGCTCATGCCTGTATTCCCAGCACTTTGGGAGACAGAGGCAGCAGAATTACTTGAGTTCAGGAGTTTAATACCATTCTGAGCAACATAGCAAGACCCCATCTCTACCAAAAAACAAAAAACAAAACAAAAAAAAACAGAGAAGAAGAAGAAAAGAAAAGAAAGAAAGAAAGAACTGAGTGGTGGCTCACATCTCTGAACATTAAACCCAGCCTTATAGCCAAAGATGCTCACCACTGAAGGATCCAGGTAGTATTGCGTGTTCTGTGGGGATTATCCGAAGAGAACTTTTACAAAGTTTTAGGTGATGGTGATGTTAAAAGAAATGCTAAGAATTTCTCTCTTATATTAAAGAGAACTATGGTCCTTTCATAAAATATACCATTTATCACCAAATTTAACTCATAACCTAAGAGTTACTAGTTACAAATTTGAAGGGAAAATTACTTCAGTGTAATACTCAAGCCAATACAAAGAATCCTATACCAATTTCTTGGGTGGATGGGCAAGAATCTGGGGAATTTACTGTGCGGTAACCCTCATCTCTCTCCCATAGGTCAGGATTTAAGTTTTCCTCAAAAATGGAGCATATTAACTGGGATGACTACAACCTCGAAGATTTCTTTGGAGATCTTAGTAATTACACTTACAGCTCTGACCTGCCCCCTCTTCTACTAGATGCTGCCCCATGTGAGCCAGAATCCCTGGAAATCAACAAGTATTTTGTGGTCATTACCTATGCCCTAGTATTCCTGCTGAGCCTGCTGGGAAACTCCCTGGTGATGTTGGTCATCCTATACAGCAGGGTTGGCCGCTCTGTCACCGATGTCTACCTGCTGAACCTGGCCTTGGCCGACCTGCTCTTTGCCCTGACCTTGCCCATCTGGGCTGCCTCCAAGGTGAATGGCTGGATTTTTGGCACATTCCTGTGCAAGGTGGTCTCGCTCCTAAAGGAAGTCAACTTCTACAGTGGCATCCTGCTACTGGCCTGCATCAGCATGGATCGCTACCTGGCCATTGTCCATGCCACACGCACATTGACCCAGAAGCGCTACTTGGTCAAGTTCATATGTCTCAGCATCTGGGGTCTGTCCTTGATCCTGTCCCTGCCCGTCTTCCTTTTCAGAAGGACCATCTACCCGCCCTCTTTTAGCCCTGTCTGCTATGAGGATATGGGCAACAATACAGCAACATGGCGGATGGTGTTGCGGATCCTACCCCAGACCTTTGGCTTCATTGTGCCGCTGCTGGTCATGCTGTTGTGCTACGGATTCACCCTGCGCACGCTGTTTAAGGCCCACATGGGGCAGAAGCACCGGGCCATGCGCGTCATCTTTGCTGTGGTCCTCATCTTCCTGCTCTGCTGGCTGCCCTACCACCTGGTCCTGCTCACAGACACCCTCATGAGGACCCAGATGATCAAGGAGACCTGTCAGCGCCGCAATGACATTGACCGGGCCCTGGATGCCACCGAGATTCTGGGCATCCTCCACAGCTGCCTCAACCCCCTCATCTATGCCTTCATCGGCCAGAAGTTTCGCCATGGACTCCTCCGGATCCTAGCCACACATGGCCTGATCAGCAAGGACTTCCTGCCCAAGGACAGCAGGCCTTCCTTTGTTGGTTCTTCTTCAGGGCACACTTCCACTACTCTCTAAGGCCTCCTGCCTAAGTGCAGCCCCGTGACTCCTCCCTTCCCTTCAGAGTTGCTTTCCAAGCCTCATGTCCACCGGTTCTTCTTGGTCTCAGTGTCAGTGGTCACAGGAAGCAGAGGAGGCCACGTTCTCACTAGGTTCCCTTGCATGGTTTAGAAAGCCTGCCCTGACGCCCCACCCCTCACCATAATTTCGACGTCACCTGCTGGAGCTCTGTCCATCCTGCCCCTGAGCCCATGGCACTCTGTGTTGTAAGAAGTGAAAATCTACACTCCAGTGAGACAGCTCTGCATGCTCATTAGGATGGCTAGTATCAAAAGAAAGAAAATCAGGCTGCGTGTGGTGGCTCAGGCCTGTAGTCCCAGCACTTTGGGAGGCTGAGGTGGGCAGATCACTTGATATCAGGGGTTCAAGACCAGCCTGGCCAATATGGTAAAACCCTGTCTCTACTAAAAACACACACAAAAACAATTAGCCAGGTGTGGTGGCAGTTACCTGTAATCACAGCTACTCCGGAGGCTGAGGCAGGAGAATCACTTGAACCCAGGAGGCGGAGATTGCAGGGAGCCGAGATCACGCCCCTGCACTCCAGCCTGAGCAACAAAGCGAGACACCATCTTAGTCCATGAAGTTGTAGAAGAGAAACTGTAACTCTTGAGTGCTGGTGATGGGAATATAAAATGGTACAGCCACTGTGGAAGACAGTGTGGCAGCTTTCCTCAAAACAGTAGACAGAATTACCGCATGATCCTGCAATTTCACTTCTAGGAGTTGACCCGTAACAAGTGAAAGCAGGGACTTGAACCGGTATTTATGCACTAATGTTCATAGCAGCATTATTCACAGGAGCCAAAACGTGGAAACAACCCAAATGATCATCAATGAATGAATGACTAAACGAAATGTGGTATGTACATAACGAAGTAGCCTTCAGCCTGAGAAAGGAATGAAGTACTGATACATGTTACAACACGGACGAAGCTTGAAAACTTTATGCTAAGTGAAATAAGCCAGACATAAACAGATAAGTATTTTGATTCCACTTACATGAGGTACTGAGAGTGAACAAATTCACAGAGACAGAAAGAGAACAGTAGTTACCAGAACTGAGAGGAGTAAGCATGAGGAGTGACAGCCTGATGGGCACAAGGTTTATGTTTGGGATGTTGAAAAAGTTCTGAAGATACAAAGTAGTAATTGTACAACAATGTGAAAGTAATTAATGCCATGAAATTGACACTTCAAAATGGTTAAAATGGTAAATTGTGTTATGTATACTTTATATCAATTAAAAAAAAAAAAAAAAACCTGAACCCCAAAAGGTACTTTAATCACCAAGGCTGATTAAACCAAGGCTGGAACCACCTGCCTATATTTTTTGTTAAATGATTTCATTAAATAACTTTTTTTGATAAACCATTTTTACTTGGGTGTTTCTATTACTGCTTCCAAACTGCTACAGAGAAGTGGGGCAAGGGTGAGCGGAGGTCTTGAGTGAGTCTTTACAAGAAGTAAAGACTCTTTGTTATTTGTTGTGTCATAGAGAGAAGATGAAATAGAGATGGAGCCCAGCCTTGTCAACCCCTCGTCCCCAACCTGAGCTTCCTGCTGTAGACTACGTATCATGGAAAGAAATATGTTCTGGGACACTCTAGGGCATCTTATGTCCTTGGGTGAAGCTTTAGTCAAGAGTGCCAGGGGTGGGACTTAGGAGGTGCAGAGGGTTGAGTAAGTTCACCAAATCCCCTGATCAGGTAGCAGGAAGGCAGAGAGCTCTCCCAGCTCAGCCGGCAGCACCCACTGAGAGTGTCCCTCCCTCTCCCGTCTCTCCCACCCAAACGCACACCCATCATTCTGTGTTTGAAAGGAGAACCCAACTGCAGAATGGGGAAGTGGTTTATAATCTGTCATTAGGAGAAAATAAAACATTCCAATCATGCCTCCAACAGCATGGCAAGCTGACTGTTCGAGGAATGGGGGGACGCAGCAGTGACCAAAACAGACAGCGCCTAGCCCTCGGGGTGCTCAAATTCCTAGGGCTTGTCTCTGCAGGGTCTTAGTCAGGAAGGGCTCTGGCTTTGAGCAGCCTGAGAAGGAAGGAAGGAGGCAAGAGGAATTGAACATCCACAGTTCCCAAACAGCCCCCTTAGGTTAACAACTAAATCTGGGAGATAACAGGCAGGCAGAAGCACACCTCTGAGCTAGAGGGCTTGAGGGGCCAGAAACTTCCACTCAGAAGCCACGAAAGTGCCTTTCCTATTGCATTCAGCAGCAACAATCTCCTCTTCCCTGCTCATTCTATGCTGGGCACTTGCTAAACTCAGGACCAAGCATGACTCATCTGCTCTGGCCCAGTCTTGGGAACAGCTTCTGATTCAGTAGCAGGGAAATGCAGGGGAACGTGTATTTTCCAAGGACCTGACTTGCCAGAGGAACCAATGGTGTTCTGCCTGGGCAAAGCTGATGGACCAGGTGGCTCCCTGAGATGACTCCCAGAGGCAGGAGGCCAAACTAGGCTTCACTCTGGTTTCAGGACTCTGCTCTTTCCTCTAACAAGGAATGGAGAAAACATGGTTCTCCAAGGATAATAAGGGAACCATAAGCCTAGGAAAATGAGGCAGAGATTAAAGTGTGCCTAGGTAAACTCTGTTTATTCATCTCTATCTCCAGTCTCTCTCTCTCTCTCTCTCTCTCTCTCTCTCTCTCTCTCTCTCTCTCTCTCTCTCTCTTTCTCTCTCTCTCTCTCTCAAGAAGTCTTGGCACAAACAATTTACAACCACGCCATCCCAAGACAGGCGAATCTGGGGCTTGTCTTTGAGTTGTTGACTTCTTCCCTCTGACGTTTCTGAGTCTGAGTCCCAGGGTCTCCTGATCTGCCTGCTCAGTCTGAACTGGCCATTCTTGCTTCCCCTCTCACCCTAGCACCATTGTCTATTTTTGACTGTCTCTCCGAGTTCATGACGTCTCTCTCCACCACAATCCCCAGTCTCTGCAGAATGGGCAGAGACTTGTTCATTAAATCAAGGCAGCCTCCTGTCTATTGTGGGTGACATTAAAAAGCACCCCAGGCTGGGCGCGGTGGCTCACGCCCATAATCCCAGCACTTTGGGAGGCCAAGGTGGGTGGATCATCTGAGGTCAGGAGTTCGAGACCAGCCTGACCATCATGGAGTAACCCCATCTCTACTAAAAATACAAAATTAATCAGGCTTGATGGTGTATTCCTGTAATCCCAGCTACTCAGGAGGCTGAGGCAGGAGAATCACTTGAACTCAGAAGGCGGAGGTTGCAGTGAGCCGAGATCGCGCCATTGCACTCCAGCCTGGGTAACAAGAGTGAAACTTCATTTCAAAAGATTTTTTTAAAAATTAAAAATAGGCCGGGCGCGGTGGCTCAAGCCTGTAATCCCAGCACTTTGGGAGGCCGAGGCAGGTGGATCACGAGGTCGAGAGATCGAGACCATCCCGGTCAACATAGTGAAACCCCGTCTCTACTAAAAATACAAAAAATTAGCTGGGCGTGGTGGCACATGCCTGTAATCCCAACTACTCGGGAGGCTGAGGCAGGAGAATTGCCTGAACCCAGGAGACGGAGGTTGCGGTGAGCCGAGATCGCGCCATTGCACTCCAGCCTGGGTAACAAGAGCGAAACTCTGTCTCAAAAAAAAAAAAAAAAAAAATTAAAAATAAAGACCACCCCAGTCTACATGTCACATTCGAACTCATAACATGCACACCTGTGAGGAAAACCACACTACCATGCAATAGCAGAGTCAAAGAAGCCTGAAGGTCCCCATTTCCATACGTAAGTGAGGAAACTGAGGCTTCACCAAAGCAACCTGGCCAAAATCTTATGGCTAGACAGTAGTAGAGCTGAAATAAGATTCCTAGTTCAGTTCATTTTTTTACCCAGTATTTAGCTCTTTGGTTTGAGCACCTGACAGACAGTTGAAATACTACATGTAGATACGACCTTTTCAGACCATTTCACTCACATGGGTAAGATCAGTCTACAGTTTTCTGCACCTGCCCTCATCTGTGCCTGGAGCTGGGGTTGCTAGAGTCTGTCATCCTGATAGGGGTGAGGCCCAGCGGAGACTCAGGGGCACAGTTATGGGAGCAGCCTCAGGCTGGGTTCACCTATTTTCAGCTGACAGGCAGGACAATTAAAGACACAGTTGTGGCTGGGCACAGTGGGTCATGCCTGTAATCCCAGCACTTTGGGAGGCTGACGAGGGCGGATCACCTGAGGTCAGCAGTTCAAGAACAACCTGACCAGTATGGTGAAACCTCATCTCTACTAAAAATACAAAAATCAGCTAGGCGTGGTGGTGCATGCCTGTAATCTCAGCTATGTGGGAGGATGAGGCAGGAGAGTCACTTGAACCTAGGAGGCAGAAGTTGCAGTGAGCGGAGCTCTAGGCAACAAGAGTGAAACTGTCAAAGAAAGAAAGGAAGAAAGGAAAGAAAGAGAGAGAGGGGGACGAAGGAAGGAAGGAAGAAAGAAAGAAAAAAAGAAAGAAAGAAAGAAAGACAGAGGGAGGGAGAGAGGGAAGGAGGGAGGGAGGGAAGGAAGGAAGAGAGATGGAGGGAGGGAGGGAGGGAAGAAAAGAAGGAAGGGAAAGAAAGAGACAGAAAGGGAGGGAGGGAAGGAGGGAGAGAGGGAGAGAGAGAGGGAAGGAAGGAAGGAGGAAAGAAAAAGGAAGAAAGCAAGCAAGAAAGAAAATAAAGATACAAAAAGAGCCCAACACAAATTCGGAGACAGCCACAATGAACCCCTCTACGGAGGACGCAGATCCATCAGGCAGGGGCCGATCAGAGAAGCAACAGCACTGGGAGGAGGAGTCTGTGACAGGCATTTGACCCTCGGCGACTGCGGGAGCTGGTTAAACCATTAGTGTCCGGCTGTCGGCTTTGCTTCTTGTCTGGGATCCGAAACTGATAGGACCGGCAGCCTGGAAGGAAAGATGGATGTGAAGCGGGGGATAACAAGGAGGAGCTGGAACCTCCCAGGACACACGGACACCTGCACTCGTCCGAGTTCAGTGTGTGAATGGCCTATGGAGAAACTGGCACCCCGCACCAGGCAGGTAAACCCACACCTGAGGGGCTACAGGCCAGCTCAGGCCCCACGCCTACAGGAGCCGGCAGATAAGCGACACCATAGGTGGTGTCTGGCACCTTGCGCTGACCTTCCTGAGCTGAAACAGAATGCAGCTGTAGCTCCAGATTCCACGTAGAAGGTCCCTTCTCACCCCCCCCCCCCCCCCCCGTTGACCTGGAAATGTGAAAGGAAGAGAATTTGGAGGAACACGGTTCTATCTTATCTATGCTGACTCTACAATTCCTCCACGC